GAAAAGGCCTAATCGGCTAGACGTTTCCTAAAATAGGGTCCAAATTTAAAGTATGTGTTGTTTTTTTCTTTTTAAAAAAAAAAGATAATTGTAATATTTAGCAATCAACAAGTAAGGAAAATGGAAAAGAATCCGGTGATTTGTATTGCACATCTAAACATTAATTAATTACGCCATGCTCTCACAGTAAAAAAATGTGAAAATCAAATCAATACTAGAACAACCAGTAACATAAATGAAGCAAAATAATGATAAGCAAAACTATTTTATATTTGGTAATTATTTTCACGGGTTGGCATTATGTTATAGTCATTATTTTAACATATTGAGGAAGGTATTTACAACCATGCTTCGTTGTTTAATGTGTTTTTCATGAAACATTCATAGCTTTATGCTTTAAAGTAACCAAATTATTACATATCAAGAATTGGATCGACAAAATTTATCGATTTAAGAATTGAGTAAAAACATAAATAGTTTAATTATTTAAAAAGTTGCGGTTATTTTGCTGACTTTAATGATCTTTAATAGTCAGATTATTATTTAAATTTTCAAATCATCACTGTATACCATGTTTTGTGAAAGTTTTGGTTACAAATAGAATACAGTTGTAAAGGGAAAAGAAAAAAAAACGATGGATTTTTTTTTACTACAAAATAGAACGCAATACAACGCTATTTTGCTATGATGATGAGATTTTCATAGAGCAAGAATCATCAAGAACGGGGTTATTTTGTGAGCTCCAGCAATTAAAGCAAGACAGGATATTGTGTCACGTGATATGAAGGGTGCTCTAGTTTCTGTAGCATTGACCCGCTGTTCAACGCATCACTGCATGGACTCAATTGAACGTTGCCTAAACAGGCTGGTGCACACGGTCACCCAATGTGCACCAGTCCTACAGCAATGTGCAGGTCTAACGACGCTTATTTCTCTGACCCTAATGTCACGCCCCGCTGGCTTTCAGTATACTGAGGGGCAGATTTACCCCGTTTTAGGACAGACAGGTAAGGCCTTACCTAAGAACTTAAAGCAGTTTTTTTTTGTAGTGCGAACCAGACGAACAGAAAACTGTTCATTTTTTTTTTTTTTTGTAAAAAGATTTAGCGATTAATTCAACTAATGAAATACTACACCAATTTCGTAAAACCACACGTAGGTCTATATATTTATAATATTATACACATAAATACATATAATTATCATAAGTTTTGGAATTAACTATCCTTGGAGCAGGTGAAGTAGAATCCAACTGTTTCTGTTACCCCGGCATAAGATAAGTTATTGTGGCCACCATATTCCCATCCTTCTTTACAAGATAGACGGGTAAACTGAGATCCTGTCGTTTTGTTAACAGCCATGCGCTCTACCACTCAAACACGCGATTCCACCCCCCCCCCCCCCCCCCAAAAAAAAAAAAAAAAACAAACTTGAATGAGAATTGTATTATTTCCAACACGCCACTATTTTGCAGGTGTATCGAGGAAACCACCCATGTCTCCACAACGTTTCATGTAATCGTGTCTAAAATTAAAATTAACGTAAGCGTCTTTTACCAGACGGTAATCACTCATGCGTTCAGTAGCAAGACCTAAGTCAGGTATTAAACGTAAGGCTAAAATATTCCAAGGGTCTGATCGTGAGATTTGGAAGAATGCCAATTGCCAAAACACGAACGATGGCCGCTAATACATTTTAAGTTCTAGAGATATCTCGCATATTATGCGTTAGAGATTTAGACAAGTTAAAACCGTATTTATTTGTATTTTAATCTAAACTTACTAAATAAACTCTTATCGTCGGTGTAAAATTATCGTTAGATGAATTACGTCTGATAAAGTTAACCACACCTGCCCCCTCCCCCAGAAACTGATTGGTCTAGAACTTTATGTTCGCTTTCTAAATATTGTTAAACATTGTATTTAATACGTTTTTGAAAATGTATTTATACTTATGGTGCACATGCTTCAAAAATGCACTAGTTTTAAAAATTAAAGGCGTTTATTGTATGATTATACATTAATAATATTAATTATATTACATTTATTGTTTGTTAAGTGTATAATTATAAAGACGATAAAAAGAAAAATAAACAGTATTAAAATAATTATTTATATATATATATATATATATATATATATATATATATATATATATATATATATATATATATATATATATATATATATATATATATATATATATATATATATATATATATATATATATATATATATATATATATATATATATATATATATATATATATATATATATATATATATATATATATATATATATATATATATATATATATATATATATATACATATATATATAATCTTAACTACTACTTCAAAGCCGCTGTATCAATATATTATATACATTTAATAAAATAAAGTTATGCACATCAAATGGTTTATCGTTTAGTTTGACAACTTATGTAATGCTTATTAAATTCCTTCAGCCGCATGAAAAATGTCAATTTCTTTACGGTTGAATGGTGAGCAACGCATGACTGGTTTTTATGGCTGGAGAGCCTTTCAGAGCCGGATTCAACAGTCTGATTCAGTCAATGTTAATCAAAGTGAATTGATTGCATGCTCTACATAAAACATGTTTTATGTTCTATAAGGTTATAAACTCCAAGCGTTTAATGATGAACATAAGTGGAAGCATGAAGGTAATGGTAATGGTAACTGTAAGGGTAATGGTAATGGTAATGGTAATGGTAATGGTAAGGGTAAGGGTAAGGGTAAGGGTAAGGGTAAGGGTAAGGGTAAGGGTAAGGGTAAGGGTAAGGGTAAGGGTAAGGGTAAGGGTAAGGGTAAGGGTAAGGGTAAGGGTAAGGGTAAGGGTAAGGGTAAGGGTAAGGGTAAGGGTAAGGGTAAGGGTAAGGGTAAGGGTAAGGGTAAGGGTAAGGGTAAGGGTAAGGGTAAGGGTAAGGGTAAGGGTAAGGGTAAGGGTAAGGGTAAGGGTAAGGGTAAGGGTAAGGGTAAGGGTAAGGGTAAGGGTAAGGGTAAGGGTAAGGGTAAGGGTAAGGGTAAGGGTAAGGGTAAGGGTAAGGGTAAGGGTAAGGGTAAGGGTAAGGGTAAGGGTAAGGGTAAGGGTAAGGGTAAGGGTAAGGGTAAGGGTAAGGGTAAGGGTAAGGGTAAGGGTAAGGGTAAGGGTAAGGGTAAGGGTAAGGGTAAGGGTAAGGGTAAGGGTAAGGGTAAGGGTAAGGGTAAGGGTAAGGGTAAGGATACGGGTTAAGGGTAATGCTAAAGATATTGGCGAAGGTGAAGAGGCCGCATACATTTTCATCAGCCATAATTCTTGTGTGAATGCATGTCGTTAGCACAAGTTATTCTTTCATACGTGCCCCTCCATGGGCTGATGAAATAGAGTTTGGCTATGTCCATGTTCTCGGCCAATGAAAATGTTTACACAATACCCAACTGCTTTTATTATACCTATAGCGAATTAGCCACTCATCAGAGCTGGATGAACATAGTTGATATCATAGGCACTCAGTAACAAACAAAGTACAACACAATTCTGTTATTCAGACCCATATAAAAAAACGTCTTTCAATTACACAAGTGACAAAATAATATGACAATATCTCAAGCATTATGAATTCAATTTTAATTTTCCAAAGCGTGCGATATAATTGTAACTTTAAATCAAATTGAACAACAAAGATGTTACACATTTTAAGTTAATTTAAGAATGTAGGACACATATGTCATTCTGTTCCCAAATTGAACCTAACTGCAGGTTGCGTCTCAATGCCTGAGTGACGAACCCGTATACATGATATTGTCATTGAACACATAGCTCAAGTAGAGTCACACACCACAATTAAAAAGGGGGAGATAAGTTGGAAGAGTGTTTATTTCAGAATTTTTTTCAGGGAGTGGGGAGGGGGGCACTTGAAACTTACGGGGGAAGGGGTGGACTTAATTTTCTGGTTGGAGGGGGGGGGGGGCACAGGTAGAAGTCTTATATTTTCTATCTCGTTCGGGGATCTGTAGACGAAGAGATATCAGAAAGATATCAGGGCATCAGGTCGTCAAGTTACAGTTCTTAGATTATTTTTAAACGTTTTAATACTTACAAGTCATTTCCAATGGATAATAAAGTTATTTTTTTTAAACAAAAATTAAAATTAATGTAATTTTTTTACTATTTTAATGTGCTAATTAATAAGTCCTGACGCACAGATAATGGTGTTTATATTTCTTAAAAAATGAATAAAATCAAATCATTAGTGTTGTTGGTAGTTGTAATAATTATGATGTAAAAGCAAGAAATAATATTAAATTAGTTTATTTATATTTATTACGAAAATAAAACAAGAGTTATGTTAACAACTCGTAACAGAGTAAGTTTGAGATACAATTTTTAAATGTTCTAAATACTAAACGGTCCAAACTTGAGAAAAGAAACTGAACTTCATGATGTTCCAACTAGTCAATGACCGACCTCTTCTGTTGGAAACAAAAAAGTTATTACACAGAGTCTAGTTCAAAATACAAATACATTAAAATAATAGAAGCTAAAATTGTTTAGCTTATGTATTAATATTTATAATCTTACCTGGTCTACTACTGTGCGAGTAATCGTATTTATAAAATCAGCACAACGATTTACTTAATATATTTAAAATATAGAGATTTTACGGCGTGGTCTAGCGGTAGAGTGCTAGACGGCCACACCGAAAGTCTCAAGTTCGAATCCGGGTTCAAGTCAGTAGAACCTCACTGAGTCCACCCAGCTCTTATGGGTACCAAACTCCCTTTAGGGAAAGTAAAGCCGGCTATCCCTTCATATTTTGAGGTCACAGAAACAGATGAACTCTTCTTCTTTGCCCCTTTGACCGTGTGGCTCGATAAGGTAACTTTCTTTCACATTTATAGTGATTTTAATTACGTGTTCATTAATTGAAATGTCAGTATTTGTTTTAGCAATAGTCAAATGAAACATCGAACACTAGTAAAGATTTAAGTAGAACTTACGTCTTGAGTTTCGACGTCGCCTGAACCTTTTCTTACATGGATCCTCTGCAATCAAGTATAGCAAATTAAGATTGCATTATCAAATATTTGACTATAAACTTTATACTTTTCAAAAGGTTAGAAATTATATAATAATTTTTTTTTGTAAATAAAAATAAATAAAATTACTTGATTTTTTAGGTTTTTGAATCTTTGGGGTTGAAGACTTGGTAACAATGGTAGTTGTTGGAGCATTGGTTGTGACCTCTGAAAGTGATACCATTTGTTTTATTTGCAATAGTTTTCTTTTTTTATCTGTTAGAGTTTCCTGTATAGAGCTTCAATATTCTTCGGTTTTGCTGTGCAATGTCACATGAATAGGATTGAAGGTGGGTAAGTACAGCTATAACTGTCACAGATTTTATTTTCTCACTAATACTTACTTTTAATAAAAGTAAAATTATAATTCAAAATATATAAGCGAAATGTGATGTTAATGTTATAAAAATTAAATCTAGAATTTGATATATTAAAAACATCTATGTTTTTTTTTCTTTTTTTTTTGCAGTTTTTGCCTAATACTTTAACGTATTTGCAAAAATGGCGTTTTAGATAATAGATATTAATAAGATAATAATTAATTAATCGAAAAACCAACCCGAGTTGCCAATGGTTGTACCCGCAGCTGTTGTTGCTGTTGCTGCTGTTGTAGCCGCTGCTGTTGTAGCCGCTGCTGCTGATGGACATTTTTTTGTAGTCGAACCTGAAAAAAAAATTAATATATTTTCTATTTAAAATACATTGTTTAATCTGTTAATGAAACTAACATCAACATAGAGTCTAAGACGAATGCCATTAGGATTCTGGCCCGGATGTAAATACTGTATTTTCTTTCGAAAACCTAACGCAAACAACAACGCAAACACAAACAAAAATAAAAATGCAAACACAACACCAACGACAACACCAACGCAAATGAAATCGCAACTCAAACACAAAAGCCAACACAACCAATAACACAAATTGAAACATGAGGACATCAAATTTAATGGCTTATATTTCAGTGCATATAAATACTTTTGTCTAGACATCTTTAGTCCATGAGCTACTGGTCATAATTCTACAAGGTCTGAAAAATAATCGTACCATTTAAAGTATGAAAAAGTTTTAAAATGCGTATATTATTTACTATAAACATTTTTCTATGAAAGCCATCACAATTTCCTCGTGACAAAAGTGTTATTTTTGCATGTTAAACAATTTAGAAAAATGTGGGGAGGGAGGGAGCATTATTTCATATATATATATATAATAATAATAGTCGGCTTTTAAATGTTAAAAAACTGCGATCTGAGAAAAACAGCAAATAGTAACGAAAAGTATGTCACGAAAATACTATATCTGTTTAGTTTGTAAAGCTGATTGTAAGCTTTGTGTGTTTCCGAGTTGATGGGAAATTCGATTATCAAATTCATGAGAAATGCAGCTTTCTGTTGACGTTAAATACAACATGATGACGGAACTTTTGGAAGATAAGATTCTGAAAAAAATATTCTTTTCTAATTAATTTATGTGAAAAAAACCAGGATTTTGGTGATTTATTTTTAGCGCAATTTCTATTCTGGAGAATTGCGTTTATTAACTCTTCATTTCTGGGAATGGATAGATGGATGGATGGATGGATGGATGTGTGTCCGCAGCTTTAAGTCGTCTTTAAGTCGTATCTCCTCCTCAACGAAGCAATATCGAGAACAAGTTCCAAAAGCAAATATGTTAAGCAAGTTCCAAGGATGAACATAGGCTAAAACAATTCAGGCATTCCTTTCTGGATTTCCCGGAAAAGCCAAAAAACCTAAAAAAAAATGCAGTTTTTGTCCCAGATCTCGGCAACCAGACCATTTGGCGACTTGAAACATTTACCAATCGATTCCTGCCATAATTTAGAACAATATTGGCGATGAAAGTTTTCAAAAATATCCTTTCGTTCGGCCACAAAAAAATAATTAAGAATTTTTAAACTGAGCGTCGTGTAGGCCTAGGATGATTTAGCGCAAAGCGCTAAGGTTCGAAAGGATTTTACTGATACGAGAGGCTAGCCTGTCGCGACGTGGGGTCGTTCGTGTCACTGCGCGCGGCAAGAGAGAGAGAGAGAGAAGTCAAATACTGATATAAACCTTTTAATATTTGGGCACTGTTGCTGAATATATGATTTATCTCGATTTAAAATTGTTATGGATAACATAAGGAAATTGCGCTTAAATTGTCACTAGAATTTTTATTAAAATTGTTGTAGCCTATCCGCTAAAGTGTATTTAACGTATTTAATCAAAACGATAAGAACCTAAGGAAATTAGTCTAAACAACTTACCAGGTTCCATGCACAGGTAGTAGGTTGCGACTGTACCACACTGAAGGTCAAGATACTTATCAGTTTCGTCAACATAGATGCAGTCAAATTCGTTGCCCGGTTCAGTTACTGGTCTGTCTTCACCCCACAGGCCACTGATTCCACTGGCCGTGCTCCCGTCCTCAGTCCACACGTATGTTCCTTCTGTTGCTATGTCGTTTAGACCAATCCAGTAACTCATCTCTAAACAAAGAACAAGTGAAACATAACAAACAATCTACAAAATACAACTTACAAACACAAATTAAGGTGTTTTTTTTTTCTTCTATGCTATAAAGATTTCAACGCACGGATTCAGTTTTGCCTCACGGTAGTTTAAAACCGAGTGGTGTGTTGATCTAGGCTCAATGGGGAAGATTTCTATTCAGGTAAAAATACATCTCCTCGTGAAAGTCAGCAGTGACCCAAAAGCAGCCGGAATATCGTGAGCCCCACTTGGAAGAATCATCCAAAACCGAGTACGATGGAGTGCATAGCACAGACTCTCCACGTCAAGTTAAGCACACTGAAATGACGCAACTTTTTAATGGGGTTTTAGACATGTGTTCATCATCATCATTACGGTGGACATCTTGAGGAGCAGAAGGACAATACCACACTACATAATCGTACTCGGTTTTGGGCGATTCTTCCTAGTTGGGCTCACGACATTCTGGCTTCTTCTGCATCACTAACAACCGATCTTTACCAAGTTTATTTTGGCCTACAGATTTTTTCTTTGATTAGCAATCAAATCAACTGCCTCTCTTGTAAAGTTTCTTGATGCTCAGGGTTTATCGTATCCATTCCAAGTTAACCATTTCCCCAATTTTTATCCAAAGTTCGGTTTTCACATATTTTTTTCCGATTGTGCGGAGGATGTTACATTCGTGCCATCCTTTACTGACGCGGCTTTTGATGTCGTTATTTGTTTTGCCATCCTTGCTTAGAACACGTTCTATATATGTGAAGCAACAAATCGAAATGTCAATACATTTTATCACACGGACTAGTGCTCCAGTTTATTGGATACTTTCAACACATATGATTTCTGTGATTGATATTTAAGTCAAATCATTTCAATTTCGCCATTTACAATAAAGCGCACTAAAATGTATGTATATATATCTGATACGTTTTGCATCAAATGTTCAGTAATCCAACCATAACATATACGAGATTTAAATAAGATCGCGCGACTTAAAGTAAACCATTGAAAACATATAGATGAACGTAATCATGATGTGTTTAATTTTCATTTCATTTCTTCTGAGATCGTGGTACACGCTACAGGCATACTAATGTTGTGTACGTAGCAGCACTCTACAGGCAAGCTAATGGTGTGTATGTGGCAACTATTTACAGGAAAACTACGTGTGTGTAGTTAACAACGCGCTACAGACAAGCTAATATTGTGTACATACCGTAAAAGTTAAAGGCGGAGCGTATGTCAGACATGAGAGTTTCTGAAGACACGGTTGCCAGAGTTCCTCCTATGTCCTCACATGCTTTCTATCAAATCAAACAATATAAACAACATGCTAATGGAGATTCGTATAAGAACATATTTTAACGAAATTCTAGAAACTGGTCTTTTTAATAATAAACCCCAAATACAACCCTTAACAAAATTTAATTTCATACGAATTTAATCATTATTAAATCAAATTGTAAAACAAAGATAATACGGGGGCACGAAAAGAATTGCGGGAGGGGGGCGCTTTTAATAAGTTTTACCTAGGGCGCTAACTAACCTGGCGTGTGCCAAATCTGACCATCCCCCCCCCCACCCCCCGGCTATGCCATTGCTTCGAATGGTAAAAAACATAGAGATGTAAACTAACCTTGGCTTCGCCCCATTTGACTGCTGTTCGGACCAGCAGATAACAGTTTCCGTCTACCACTTTAGCCCCGTCCCATTGAGTTGTACCTGTCATATACATGTCAGGTGGGAATGACTTGTATCTAATATGATTTGTTTACATTCTTTAAGATATTTTGAGTCAAAATTAAATATGCACCTGCATATATATATATATATATATATATATATATATATATATATATATATATATATATATATATATATATATATTAAATACGATTCAACCTTCTACCATGTATACTCACCTTGGGCGTGACAGAGACTGAAAAACAACACTGCTGTTATCAGAAGATGAAAATCTCTAAATGTCATTTTAAACGATTTAGACGGATTTCTGGAAATGTAGATAATTGTGTAAGTATTGTTTTTACATACATTTCATTGTGTATAGTATTAACTACATTAGGTTATTTAAAATTATATGTACTATGATATCGAAATCAGTTGAGTACATCAACGTATTGGTCTGATCTTGTAAATTATTCAAAACAATCTGAAGCCTGCAAAACTCAATTACACGATGAATGTCAAACATTCTTTTACATCGATCTAGAAAAAAACACCTATTAACATGATTTTTAATCCATTTTAAATACTTAAACTTTTTAAAAATAAAATAGAATCTCGTAGAAAAAAAAGAATTGCACACTAAGTGAAGGCAAACAATATGTGTATAGTAGTGCGGAATATTATTAGTAGTTTATAAATTCATATGCGTTTTGGAGAAATAGGAACTTCAGTAAATGCATACTTCCGTTCAACGGAAATTTCCCCAAAATTTGATAGAAGGCAAAGAATAAAATATTTTATTTATATGTGAAATTTCGTTTATCTATCTGAAACAGTAGTCAATTTGTAGGCTTTTGAAAAACAAAAAATGTCGAATTAGTTCCACTTCTGGTTACCGGGAATTGATAAAAAGTTGATACAGAACAACACATTTGATATATTACTTTTATTAGAAATATCATCACCTAGCTGTAACGGTACACACACATACACACATACGGACAAACTTGCAAAAGTATGGTTTTTTTTCTAATTTAGGGAGGCGTATAACGTCGAGATTTGTGAAAATATCGATTTGGATTTTTTGCACGATTACATTACTTCCTCTATACTTCGTATACGAGAAAGTAAAAAAAATCTATTAACACACAACCAGCAAGCCAAATACTGCACGCATCGTCTACATAAGAAACAAAAAACTACATCCAAAACTACACTGATGAAAACAAAATATCAGTAATATAATCCACATCATCGGCCGTGAATACTCTGACGGACAAGACATAAGTAACAGTCCAATATAATTCCAACACCGTCAATGCCAAACGAAAACGAATAAAGCAACTATACAATTAACTTTCAGTATAATTACTATTTAAAAAAAACAAGAAGAAAAACCACCATCCTCATTGGAAAATTATTCGCCTACCAACTAATATGTTGCTAGAAATGAATTCGCCTACTAACTAACATATTGCTAGAAATGCATTCGCCTACCAAATAATATAATGCTAGAAATAAATTCGCCTACCAACTAATATGTTGCTAAATCTACCGCACTATTTTCACCGTGAAATGACGACCGATAATCAGAAAAAGTCCAACCGAGGAACTAAATCCATAAAATTTACCACAATTCAGTCGTGTACAAATCTCCAACACACAAGCACTCCACAGAACGGCGCTTACAGTTTATATCATGCGTCGCATAACTGCTTCGCTGGCCAATGAAAACACTTTGCATAAGCGTCTGCGGACATGGAACATAATGTTTCTAAACTAGGTCATGAAAATATTTCTAAAAATAATAAAATATGTAATGTTAGTGTTATATAGAAAAAGAAATTAGATTTTTTTATAAACATGAGCATAAGTAAATTTAATTGTATGACAGAAATGAGAAATTTAACAAGTAACGTTACTATCAAATACAAAAAAGAACTAATTCGATTTAGTTTTAATAATGAGCTTAAGTAAATAAAACTGTATAACAGAAATATAAATATATATATACATATATATATATATACATATATATATATATATATATATATATATATATATATATATATATATATATATATATATATATATATATATATATATATATAATAGAAATTATTGTCACTTTTGATGTATCGCATGAATGCGCCCATGTATTTATTAACGCACTATCAAATCGCACCCTGCAATAGTTTGACTGACAGGAGGGTTAGGCCACGCCCACTGCCTAGTCAAGATCGCCTTTTTACGCCAATAAGTTTCTATAGGGCTGGTATGTAGGTCACCAACCAGTTCTACGGCTCAATAAAACCTGCATGAGCCATAGAACTGTTTATTGACCTACTTACCGGCCCTATAGACATGTCTGCTGTTTCATATAATAGCTAGGCGCTCTAGTAATTTCACCCGGAACCAGTATGTGTGTGTATGTGTGAGGTTAATTGGGGTTGGGTGGTTTGTGAAGGATAGCTGTAAGGATGTGAGGGGGTGAAGGGCGGGGGTGAAGGATGGGGGTGAAGGGTAGTGAAGGGTGGGGGTAAAGGGTGGGGGTGAAGGATGGGGGTGAAGGATAGTGAAGGGTGGGGGTAAAGGGTAGGGGTGAAGGGTGGGGGTGAAGGGTGGGGGTGAAGGGTGGGGTGAGGGGTAGGGGAGAAGGGTAGGGGTGAAGGGTGGGGGTGAAGGGAGGGATAAAGGGTGGGGGTGATAGGTGAAGGGTGGGGGTGCAGGGAGAGGGTGAAGGGTGGTGGTGAAGGGTAGTGAAGGGAGGGGGTGATGGGTGGGGGTGATAGGTGAAGGGTGGGGGTGAAGGGAGAGGGTGAAGGGTGGGTGTGAAGGGTAGTGAAGGGTGGGGGTGATAAGTGAAGGGTGGGGGTGATAGGTGAAGGGTGGGGGTGATAGGTGAAGGGTGGGGGTGATAGGTGAAGGGTGGGGGTGAAGGGTGGGGGTGATAGGTGAAGGGTGGGGGTGAAGGGAGAGGGTGAAGGGTAGTGAAGGGTGGGGGTGAAGGGAGAGGGTGAAGGGTGGGGGTGAAGGGTAGTGAAGGGAGGGGGTGATGGGTGGTGGTGAAGGGTGGGGGTGAAGGGTGGTGAAGGGAGGGGGTGATGGGTGGTGGTGAAGGGTGGGGGTGAAGGGTAGTGAAGGGTGGTGGTGAAGGGTGGTGGTGAAGGGTGGGGGTGAGGGGTAGTGAAGGGTGGTGGTGAAGGGTGGTGGTGAAGGGTGGGGGTGAAGGGTGGGGGTGATGGGTGGTGGTGAAGGGTGGGGGTGAAGGGTAGTGAAGGGAGGGGGTGAGGGGTGGTGAAGGGAGGGGGTGATGGGTGGTGGTGAAGGGTGGGGGTGAAGGGTGGGGGTGATGGGTGGTGGTGAAGGGTGGGGGTGAAGGGTAGTGAAGGGAGGGGGTGATGGGTGGTGGTGAAGGGTGGGGGTGAAGGGTGGGGGTGAAGGGTGGTGAAGGGAGGGGGTGATGGGTGGTGGTGAAGGGTGGGGGTGAAGGGTAGTGAAGGGAGGGGGTGATGGTTGGTGAAGGGTGGTGGTGAAGGGTGGTGGTGAAGGGTGGGGGTGAGGGGTAGTGAAGGGTGGTGGTGAAGGGTGGTGGTGAAGGGTGGGGGTGAAGGGTAGTGAAGGGTGGTGGTGAAGGGTGGTGGTGAAGGGTGGGGGTGAGGGGTAGTGAAGGGTGGTGGTGAAGGGTGGTGGTGAAGGGTGGGGGTGAAGGGTGGGGGTGATGGGTGGTGGTGAAGCGTGGGGGTGAAGGGTAGTGAAGGGAGGGGGTGAGGGGGTGGTGAAGGGAGGGGGTGATGGGTGGTGGTGAAGGGTGGGGGTGAAGGGTGGGGGTGATGGGTGGTGGTGAAGGGTGGGGGTGAAGGGTAGTGAAGGGAGGGGGTGATGGGTGGTGGTGAAGGGTGGGGTGAAGGGTGGGGGTGATGGGTGGTGGTGAAGGGTAGTGAAGGGTGGTGGTGAAGGGTGGGGGTGAGGGGTAGTGAAGGGAAGGGGTGAAGGGTCGGGGTGAAGGGTGGTGGTGAAGGGTGGGGGTGAAGGGTAGTGAAGGGAGGGGGTGAAGGGTAGTGAAGGGTGGTGGTGAAGGGTGGTGGTGAAGGGTGGTGGTGAAGGGTGGGGGTGAAGGGTGGGGGTGAAGGGTGGGGGTGATGGGTGGTGGTGAAGGGTGGGGGTGAAGGGTAGTGAAGGGAGGGGGTGAAGGGTAGTGAAGGGTGGTGGTGAAGGGTGGTGGTGAAGGGTGGTGGTGAAGGGTGGGGGTGAAGGGTGGGGGTGAAGGGTGAAGGGTGGTGGTGAAGGGTGGGGGTGAAGGGTAGTGAAGGGAGGGGGTGAAGGGTAGTGAAGGGTGGTGGTGAAGGGTGGTGGTGAAGGGTGGTGGTGAAGGGTGGTGGTGAAGGGTGGTGGTGAAGGGTGGGGGTGAAGGGTGGGGGTGAAGGGTGGGGGTGATGGGTGGTGGTGAAGGGTGGGGGTGAAGGGTAGTGAAGGGAGGGGGTGAAGGGTAGTGAAGGGTGGTGGTGAAGGGTGGTGGTGAAGGGTGGTGGTGAAGGGTGGTGGTGAAGGGTGGGGGTGAAGGGTGGGGGTGAAGGGTGGTGGTGAAGGGTGGGGGTGAAGGGTAGTGAAGGGAGGGGGTGAAGGGTAGTGAAGGGTGGTGGTGAAGGGTGGTGGTGAAGGGTGGTGGTGAAGGGTGGTGGTGAAGGGTGGGGGTGAAGGGTGGGGGTGAAGGGTGGGGGTGAAGGGTGGTGGTGAAGGGTGGGGGTGATGGGTGGTGGTGAAGGGTGGGGGTGAAGGGTGGTGGTGAAGGGTGGGGGTGAAGGGTGGTGGTGAAGGGTGGGGGTGAAGGGTGGGGGTGAAGGGTGGTGGTGAAGGGTGGGGGTGAAGGGTAGTGAAGGGAGGGGGTGAAGGGTAGTGAAGGGTGGTGGTGAAGGGTGGGGGTGAAGTGTAGTGAAGGGTGGTGGTGAAGGGTGGGGGTGAAGGGTGGGGGTGAGGGGTAGTGAAGGGTGGTGGTGAAGGGTGGGGGTGAGGGGTAGTGAAGGGTGGTGGTGAAGGGTGGGGGTGAAGGGTGGGGGTGAGGGGTAGTGAAGGGTGGTGGTGAAGGGTGGGGGTGAAGGGTGGGGGTGAGGGGTAGTGAAGGGTGGTGGTGAAGGGTGGGGGTGAAGGGTAGTGAAGGGTGGTGGTGAAGGGTGGGGGTGAAGGGTGGGGGTGAGGGGTAGTGAAGGGTGGTGGTGAAGGGTGGGGGTGAAGGGTGGGGGTGAGGGGTAGTGAAGGGTGGTGGTGAAGGGTGGGGGTGAAGGGTGGGGGTGAGGGGTAGTGAA